AGAAGATGAGACCATTATCAACAAGCCACTTCCATTTCTACCACTATCACCTCCCTTTCAGAAAACAAACTTCCCATAAATTTATCTTAGCAGGGGGTAGCACTTGGCCAAACGTATCCAGATCTGGAAGCTAAGCAAGCTTAAACCTGGTCAGTGCTACCTGATTCCCCATAAATAAGACCTCCCCGGATAATAAGCCCAATTGAGCTTTTGAGCGCATGTGCTAAAATAAGCCCTCCCTGGAAAATTAGACCTCCCCGAAAATATTGCAACACAGCAGCAGCCATGAGGTGAGTGGGCTCACTGCCTCCTGCACCTCAAAAATAATGAGACCTCCCGGAAAATAAGGCCAAGCGCTTATTGTGGGGATCAAAAGAAAATAAGATCCTGTCTTATTTTTAGGGAAACACGGTATGATGACACATCACCAGGGTATTTCAAGGCTGGAGGCCAAATTGGGGAAATCAAAAAAATACACCAGAGAAAGTCATGGAAAAATCACTTCTACAGAGTTGACCAAGAAACTGCATGGATGTGTTTGTAACCAGAACTTCTCAGCTCAAGGGAGATCTGCTTTACCTCCTCACAAAATGTCATAAAATGTGACTTCCTATATAATTCTTGGGGGGGGGGGTTCTCCCCCTTCACAGCTGCAGAGGTTGGAATTGAAAACAGCTGCAAATACACACAGATACACACACTCAGACGGATTACAGCCACAGACACACACAAAGGAAAAATTAGAATTAAAACCATATGGTCAGAAACAATAAACTAGAGGAAATGGTCTCTGAGACTTGAGCAGACTTTGGGGAAGGGAGAATAACTTTCAAAATGTGATATGAGCTGCAATCTAAAAAAAATCTATTTTCTAATATGTTATGTTCCCCATTTTAATATGAACTGTTGAGGGGATGTTCCAAGAAACACAATGGTCTTTCTGTTTGGTACAAATGGTTAGAATTGTGGTGTATTGTGTTCCCACCAGAACAATTCCTTCAGGCAAACATGACTGAGTAGCAGTCAAGTACTCTCTCCCTGCAAGTAATGGGTGGAAAATCTCACTACTTCAGGGGCAAGAGATTAGAATGAACTCTGAAACAGTTATTTTCCCCATAGGAAAAAAAAACCCACAATAGAACTGTAATAAAAAGAGTTCAGCATTGGAAATTCCATTCACTGTCTTTTTTTCCCATTATACATATTTCCCTCCCATATTGTGGAGGCTGGCCCTAGCAGGAAAATGAATATAAGAGAGAGTTTGATTCAGCAAGAACAATGGAGGCATTGTGTCTGCACTGGCAGGCACTGGTTCCAAGGTCAGGAGTTTGCAGGTACTTACCCCCCAAGAATTGGATGCCTCCAGCCACCCTGCCCACAGTTCTGGAGATCAGCTCATATACACAGCATCCCATGAGCGCAGTGAGGGCCACTAGAAGAAGGAGGCCGCTGCCCAAACCGGTCACCACTGTGCAGATCTGCCACTCCACACTTGGAATGGCCTGGAAGGATGCGTAACGTCCACACTGCTCTACCATGACTGTCATCTGGCGGCTCTCATCTCGAACAGGATAGGAACATCTCCGGAAAGTGCCAAAAGAGACTGGTTTCTCCAGCTGAGAACCCAGCAGCCAATAAGGCATGAAGAAACCCACACAGGAGGCTCCAGCGCAAAGGAAGGAAAACAAGGCCCAGATCACTCCGGCATAAGTCAGGCTAGAGGCCATTTTCCCAGTCATGATGACCCAAAGGAGCTTGGAACAAAATCCGCCACCTGATCAACTAGTTTTGGAGATCTGCAGGTATTTCCTCAGTTCCAGGAGTCTTGGAGTCCAAGGAAATCTTCCATAAGCGCCGTCAGACTCACTTCTTTTGTCCTTAAGATTCCTGGTATGGCAGAGATGGAGCTTCTTCTTGCTACTTCTTCATCCCCAACCAAAGCTGTAATTTAACAAGAAGCATTAAGGAAGGGAGCAGGATAAGGAGGTAAATTATAACGAGTTCTTTCAACATGGGGAAGTGGACCAAGAAAAGCAGTGATGAGAATTAAGCTTAAACCATGAAACCAAGCTGGGGGGGGCAATGCAAGAAATGCAAGACTGAAGGTTGGGTTAGAGAAAGAATAGCTTGTCCCAGTCCAACAACCCTCTAATGAAGGTGTTCAGAATGATAGGATGGGTAGTCCTACCAGGCATCAGGCTGGGAGAAGCTGTAGGAAGGTCACCAGATCTAGCCCTGGGTTCTGCTCTTATGGCTTTCAGTGTCAAGTGAAAATGAACTCATGAATCACAAAGCCCCACCTTTTAGTTTGGTGAAGAAACAGGTCAGCCTCTCTCATCTTTCCTACCAAGTCTGGTTGTCAGTTGGCAAACAAAAATAAGAGCTCTCTTGTTCTTTTGACATGAGGAAGTCAGCAGTGGAAGCTTTATGGAGTCTGAAAATACCACCCAACAAGGCCCATGGTCATGTCACAGAGGTCAGCTGGACAGCCCACATCTGCCTTGCCTTCCGACTGAGATAGCAGAGAACTACTAAAAAAAAACCCGTGACAGTTGAAGGCAGCAAGCACATACTAAAAGCTCTCACTGCTGTTGTTACGGTATGTAGCGGCCATCCCTATTTTTGCAGCCTGGTTAGCCTTGCAATATCAATCCTGAGTTGCATGGAAATCAGTGCTGAATAAAATCCTGCCACTTACAACCCCTGGAAGGGCTACGAAAACCTTGGGGGCAGAAAGACTGGTGGTTAAGAGAAATAAGATAGCAATGTACCGTGACTTTTTCCTCCTGTTATTCCTCTTTGTGTACAGGAACAAATTGAGCCTCGGAGATCAGGAAGACAATAAAACAAAACCCCAAATGGTCTCTTGCCTTTATAAGAGGCTGTAAAAGAGGGAAGTTGAGGTGTTCACAAATTAGGGTGTTCACAAATTA